GATAAGAATATAATAAAAATACCTACATTTTTCTCCAATCCTCTGTTGTGATATCTCGTATATTGTCACTTCGGTTCTTATTATAATTGATTAACGGCATAAGCCTGTCAACAGCAACTCGCGATTGCAGCAATTCACATACCTTACTTTGCACACCACACAGACATCTACAAACTGATTAAACTTCCCATGTAACATTTCCCAAAGTGAACACATCACAACTGTAGGACGTTTGAAGTTTACTTATACATGTACAAATCACACCGACAGTCACTGTCAATATTAGGATTTGCGATATTTATAGTTAAACATCTAAAAATATATAAACAACACACGTTAATAGACAATAAACGTCAATCAAGGTGTGTCAAATAAGAAAACAACACATATATATATATAAATAGACAATATTTGTATAAGCAGTTTTATATTTCGTTTTAATGAAACAAAATATGCACAATCTTTCCGATTGAAGTAGCCGTGAACATGTCCACAGATAGCACACATACTTCAAATGATGGCGCTTATTCCTCATCGCCAACCCATCATCCATAGTCAATAGTCTACTTGGTATATAGAAATCAATAGTCTCACTTCATTGTGAACCGTTTTGCAACCAAGTGTACGTCCTGCATGCGTGGATAAGACTGAATACTCAGGGGTTCCGTCCGGCTCCCCCCCTTGAGGCATCGTTCATTGCTCTCCCAATGCCACGCAGCCCCTGTCACGATAGCTCCCAGTCTGGCCCAGGAAGACAGTTGGTGTTCCCAGGTGAGTCCGGTTTTTCGCAGGTACAAGCGTCGAGCGCGGTTCACTTCGAATAAAAAAGAATGTCCTGCAACAATCTCCGCTGTTATTCGTTCTCGTCATCGCTGTGCCTTTCGTGTACATGCGAAAAACTGAGCCCGACCCGGTACGGAGAGGTCAGAGCTGGTCCACGGCAACGGCTTTATTCTGTCCTGTCAGACTATTACGCCCGACGGGAAAGATTATCACCGCCACTAACCAGATGGCCACTAATCAGATTCATTCAGCTGCCCTCCTTTCTCCCTGCCCCCTGCGACAGCATGAAAATCTCGTAGTCGAGTTTTCAAGCCCGACAGGGAAATTAGATGCCAACGTTCGTCTGGGCTTCCACCACCTGCAGACACGTCCGATATATCCGAAATAGCTCAACCTACGAGTGCAGACAGAATCACGTAATATGTTGCAAATAAATCTCTCTAAAATCAATAAAGATGTAAAAAATTTGATAACAGTTTAGTAGTATGAAAAAATGCACCTATACCATACGATCTTTTTTCTTATTTCGTTGGTTACCGTATATAATTCTTTCTTTTCTTTCTTCTTAAACAGTCATACAACAGAAGTCGGGACGAATATGTAAGTATGTTTTCCATGTTTTCCATGTAACTTTGAGATAACTTTCAGTCAAAAGATTGACTTTATATCAACAGATGTTTAAACAAATTTTCTTGGGCTCGTAAACATTATGAAATTTTACGTGTACTCAATAACGCTTGTTGTATTTACTGACATTTTATATTTTTGAAACATCGTCAAGATTTTTGACGATATCTTCATTGGCTACCAAGATATTTACTTGCAACTTGATTAGGTGATTCATTCTGCATAGGTTGGTCGACTTTTCACCGAAAATTTTACGAGGTTGAATCGTTTGAATAATCTGGAAACAAAAATTTTAATAAAGATGTCGATACTATATTCGACAGATAGTATACAACCGAAATGAAGTCTCTGATAGTTGCTAAAGTTGGCATGTTCAGGTGCAATACAACACGCAGCAAATGCTTAAATATACTCTAATTACCGATACACAAATTACATATCTATATAATAAAAATAATGTCTCAGATGAATCTATTTTGTTTCTAAGAAACAAAACTTTTAGTCTTGAGAAATGTTTCGCATGAGAGATAAAACAAGCAGTACAATACGAGAGAATAAAATATTTTTCAAGAAGTATGTATGTGCCAGCTTCTATCGTGTAAAAATAATAATATTCCGCCAGTATTGTTTACTCATAGCTCTCACATAGCCGAATTGACGATCGAAACATGATGACATGTGATTTGTTACGCCGTAATTGTTTATGAATAAATGAATGAGAGAGATGCTTGATTTGCTTGATGCTCGAATCCTTTCCAATAATTTAATTTACTAAAACTCGATATGATCAGTCCTTTCATCTACGGATATCCAAATACCATTCGTAGCGATATCCGTTGAAAATTTCATAACATTATATTATATCGGGATATCGCAAGGGCATATTTTCACAGCCACCATTGCTTGGCACATGTCATACATTAAAATGTTGAACAATAGTGTTCAGCATTTTAGCATGAATTATAGAATCCACAAGTGGAAAAGAATAAAATATAAATGAAACTAATAATCTTCGATGAATATAGATGAATATAAACGCTAAATGTCGCAGATGTATGTATTAATATCTATAACGCAAATGAATATACCAAATACGCTCGAAATACGCAATATATTCATGCATACATATTACACAGACCTACACGAGTTAGTTACAAAAATCAATGTGAGCGAATCTTATAAATTTTTCAATGATGAAAATGAATCTGTCCTTCTCTGACTCTATCATGTCAAGTTTTCAAGTAATGGATTCAAACTGCGAAAAATCTTAATTTTACTCATTTTTGACGGTCCATTAATTGGTGCTGAATTTATGCGATATTGAAATCAATGTAAACGATTTTGATAAATTTCTTGCTGAATATAAACGGATAGTCTAAATTATCTTATCACGTCAAATTTTTTACGGCTGAAATCTCAAAAAGCGCTACTTTGATAATTTTTGGCAATATGTGAGTTGGTCAAATTTTACGATACTGAAAGCAGTATAAGTAATTTTGCGGTTACATCATTTCCTTTTAACAATGATAAAATATAATTCTAGAAATAGAAAAAATTTTATAGAAGTCTTTTTATATTAAAATTGAAATCAGCCTAAAAATCCGCAGAAATCAGCCTGACGTCCGCAGAAAATGTTTTACTTTTTTATTACATATTATTACGAATGAGATGTATTATATAGAATTTTTATTATAATTTCTATTATATAGAAAATATGTAACCTATTCATCTACAATTTCATTAAACATGTTTAATTTTAAATAACATTTTTTTATTTTCACAATGAATAATGCATCGTTACTTCTAAACCGGAAGTTTGAATGGATTAACCCCTTCCGTGGCACGGACGCATCGGTGCGACCAGCCAAAACCGTGCCGTAAATGGCACGGTTAAACATTTAGTGAATTTCTATATTTTGACCTCAAATTCGGCTTCAGCGACCAAAAAAACTGAAGTATACAAATTATTGAAAAAATCCGCCCCGTCATTTTTTTTGGGGGCGGTTTCAGTGCATTTTACTGAATTTTGCTCTACCACGGAAAGGGTTAATTTGATATATGAAATTTTGTTTTTCATCCATGAATCTATACAAACTATTGAAAACTTGCCCTGATAGAATAATTTGAACTACAAATCCATACTCAAACATAAATCACAATTCCCCACATTGAATGGTTCAAACTGCGAACAATCTCTGTATGGCATAGATTTAAAAATTCATGGTTCGTAAAAAATAACCAAAATAGCATTTTTGAAGATTTCAGCTAATACTTAGTAAAATCCAGATGTGATATGCTAATTTAGGAGGACGGATTCACTTTCAGCATTCAAAGATCTATAATAAATCGGATCATTTGTTCTTGTAACTTTTAAAAGGCCAAATTTTGTAGGTCAGTGTTATTTAGGCGTATTATGCAAAACAAGGAAATAAGATAAGCAAAAAAGAGTTCGCCTATTTTCTTTGACGATTTTGCAAGATAAAATTTGTGATACCTTTTTCCTACTCGTTTCCTATAAAAATCTTATATTTGCATTAACATCCGCAGTCCGTCAATTATAATACTCCAAGCAGGACGGCGCACCGATAAGAATAATTCTTCATCCATGCAAGGCTCCCACGATATAACGCTAAACGAATTGGGAATGATCAACGACTTTCGAACGATAATTTTCACAGCCGAGACGCGCAACAGATATTGGCCAATGATTTCCGATTCATCACAGCGCAAAAAGTCTTACAAAAGGTGGATTCAGCAGTCTCGATTAATTAAACACGCGCATCACCTTCGCGCGCGACAGTTTCACAGTCGCAGCATCATGTTTGATATTTAAATATCTCCGTCCATAGTAAAATCTCACTCGCGAATCGCAACGCTAATATGTCACTGTAAAAGTCCTTAAGTGCACCATTGTGTATTACCTTAGCTTATAATCCTTTCCATCACGCCGGTGAAGTAAATAGTGGTGAAGGGTGTCTCGGGCGTCGCGGGTGTAACCAACGCATGTGGACCGGCACACCGGCTCGCCCGAGGAGGGACATAAGAAGCAGAAGAAGAAGAAGAAGAAAAAACACATATCCTAGTTTCGTGCTGTCCTATAGAATGGTATAGTGGTTAACGACAAAGCCGAAGAGAGACTTAGCTCTCCCCTGGCCGCTGCAAACTCAGATTCGCGTGGGGGTGTTTCGCTCTTCGACGGATACTCGAAGCGTACATGCCGCATTAGACGCGTAAAACAACGAGGAAAGCGGTCAAAACGTAACATCAAAGGATATACCTACGGTATATCCGCCGGACATGATTCTCACTCTAATAACACTCTAAAAAATCGACAAAGAATAACAAAGCGTACTTGTCACTATGCTGCGATACATTATCGATGTGTGTGTTACAAACAACTATAAGACACTTTCTCTTTCCTTGTTTTTTTTGCTTTTCCTTTTTCTCTTTTTACGAAGAGGGCGCGTATAGATTGTCCTTAAATACCACGGCGTTTTCCTTCCGCTCTCTCTCTCTCTCTCTCTCTCTCTCTCTCTCGCTCTCTCTCTCTCTCTCTCTCTCTCTCCCCCTCCCTCCCTCCCCCTCCCCTCTCTCTCTCTCTCTCTCGTCTCTCTCGTCTCTCTCGTCGGCACATTTTCCCCCTGTCTCACATCCTTCCTTTTCTCAGCTTTCAGCTTTTACGAAAGTTGTAACGCTCAGACGAGCAGTCTCATCCCTTTTGCTTTTAAGATGTACGTTGCATATCGCCACACAACGAATTGTATTCTAATGCGATCGCCAAAAGTTCAGTTCGCGATAAATCGTGCCGTATCTCCGGGACCCGAAGACGCGACTCGTCTTCGGGCTCGTCAGCGTGTAATTCCGATTGTTACCCGACCGGCTCAACGAGGAATGAAATTTCCCCACGTTCGCGCGACATCCATCAAATTGCGTTTCTAGCTATTGCTAGTGAAATCGGGTGATATTTGAAGGAGAACTACTTCGATCCTTCGTGCCTTCATCTTGAGGATTGAACAAGTAGCCGTTCGTTCGCCGGTGGACATGCATCATCGCGTTATACATCTAAAATACAAATGATGCGCTTTTGCGGATGACACAACGACATGGACTCGTGTTCAAAGTTTCCTCCGTAAAACGAACCGCTTTCTTCTCGAACAGCTGCTGCGAATTTTGCCTGTGTTTTCCTCTCGGGACTTTGCATATTCACTGTTTGTCCTCTGCGGTGGACAAAATAAAAGAGAAAAAAGAAATCAGCCACACATGATCGTTCAGCCGGGGCGAAAAGTACGAACGAGTCGTGTTTCCGTCCCCTTTCGAAACCATTTCTCTGAACTCTTGTGCCTGCCTATGATAATCTTTGAGAGCTCGAGAGCATTTTCGCGCGACGTCGGCTCTGCTTAAAAACTAACACGCTCGAAATCGGTCGCGGGACGCCTCGAGACGGATTCTTCTATCGATAGGACACGGGACGCTTATGTAACAGAACTTTCTTCATGAGGAACCTCTTCGTACAACTCTCTATAACTGTCCAGAGATCTCGCTGTTCTCCGACAAACAGCGCAAAATTCAATTCCTAATCGATCTTAAGGCTTATCTTGTCGATAGACTTCCTTCTTTCTCCCAAAGGAACTATTGCTTATAATCTGAAGTAGAACCGTCTTCTCCCGATCTCTCTTTCTTCTCGGTCGTCCGATCAGTTCTCTCAACGATGATTGATTCACGCTTTTTTTTTCTTTTTTAGACTCTACGGGAACTCGAGAGAAAGAGAGAGAGTCTCTCTCACGGGTACTCGAAGCTCCTCACGATTCTTGGCGCACTCGCGCACTCGCGCACCCCAAACGTCTCTCCCCTCTCTCTCACGAGAAACTCTCCCTCTCTTCTCAAAGCGGATCCTTTGGCAGGAACCGATGAAGCTCATTCTGTTGTGGGAGCGTTGACTACCATGACAGCTCGTCGTTTTACGTCTTTCTCTTCTCTTCGATCAGTTTGCTGGGAACCAGGCTGGAGGATGCGAGCGACGGCCGGCCGGAGAACGCGGTGAAGGTGTCTTCAGTTTCTTCAGCGGACAAGCATGATGTCTTGAATAAGGCAATTCAAATGGACCAATTAAATCGGAAAAGAACCGGGCACTGTCCATCTCCGTCAATTGAAGTAAAACTTGTTGAGCACAGAAAGGAACTAGATACCCTTTAATAAAAGTCTGGTCATAAGAGCGCCAGTTCTGATTGGTCCGGCAATTTTTGTCAACTCCCGTTCATATTTGAATCGCACTGACCTTACTACCATTGACACACCTTGTATCTAAGCAACACAACTAAGAAATAAACGCTGCAAAAGAATGAAATCTAAAAAATCTTCAACCTCTGTAGCGCATGCGTGAACGCGTCAGAAAAGGGCACACTAAAGAGAGAGATAGCGAATGTGTATCTTTCTCTCTCGAAGGATTTCGCCAAAACCGCACTTACGGCCAAACTCTTATTCGAAGGTTTCCAAGAGAGACTGACGTCGTACGACTGTAAAGTCAATAGTTCTCGTCGGACAATCCCAGCGACAGTCGCTGTCTGCTGGCAACATCTTGTGTCTACTTCCACTTGGAACAAGACAAAGACACCACGTTCTCGGGTGGCTGCTGGCCACTCGCTGGCGAACCTCGCGGCCGGGTTCCGCGAGCCGACAAGGATCAACATGGTTGTTTCTTGCGTGCACACCACACACTTATCACACGGAGAAAACAAAAACATCTTCGCTGTCGCGGCGAGAAGAGCCGCGTGGGCGCAGGTCGCGTCTGCGCGACCGAGCCTTTAGATGGACGAGGGGCCCGATTCCGACGAGCGGTAAGCGGAGTCGGAGTCGATGCTGCTAACTGAGCCCCTGCAGTCGAATTCCCTCTGTATCACCAGGCTGTCGGAGCTCTGGTGATGGAACTTCTTCAGGTGTCTGCTCAGGCTGCAACGCTGGGTGAAGGCGCGTTTGCAGAAGACGCAGTAGAACTGCCGCGGCACGCCGCACTCGTATCTGGTGTGGCGCGACAAGTTGCCTTCGGTCTTGTACGATCGGGCGCAGTGCTCGCACTTCCACTTGCCGCTGGTGCTGCGCACCTTGCCGCAGACGGTCTTGCGGTGGCGGTTCAGGGTGAAGATGTGGGACAGGCCCTTGCCACACTTGGAACACATATAGGGCTTGTCGGTCTGCGGCTTCCAGCTGGATGAGCCCTGCATCATAGACACCGGTGGCGCCGTCGGATACGGCGGCACGGCGGCGGGTAGCTTCGGTTCGCTCTTGAAGTGAGTCGAATTCGAGGTGAGGTCGGTGGCGGTGACGGTAGCGGCGGCGATAGCGGTGGCTACGCCCACAACGGCAGCGGGTGGCAGCGGCGCCGGCGGCGGCAACGGCGGCGGCAGCAGCGGCTTCAGAAACACCCGGAACTTGCAGCTGTCGTCTGGAAAAAATGAAAATGACGATATTAAGGGAGGTCGTGGCGGGATCAGGTTCGAAGGCGGAAAAACAAGTGTGTGGCGGGGAGAAAAGAAATAAAAGTTCTTTATTTTTGTGATTCGTGAAGAAGTTCTCGAGAACGAGCGGGCGAAAGACAGCGGGATAAGGCGCGAAGTACAAAGAGAGGGAAAAAGAAGGAAAAAAAGAGAAAGACAGAGAGACGAAAGGAATCGTGGATTCGAAAGATCCGACGAGCGACAGACGATCGTTGTATATCATAACGTTAAACAAATACATTTGAGTACGCTAGAACTGAAGGCGTTCGAACACATGAAAATTGAGCGATCCCGAAGAATCTCGATTATACAGCGGTGGAGAAGGTAACAGAAAAAATCGAGAGAACAAAGGTGAAGATAAATGTTATTGTTAGAGAGTATAATGTTAGAAAAGAGTCGCACACGAGGGGATGAGCGGTATTTGAAGCAAGAACGGTCGAATGCGTTATTAGATTATTAAAGAATGGATTATTAAAGAGCAACAAAAGGTCTGTGAGGTATGACAGAGACAGCTCGAGATGCGTATCTACCGAAGGAGATGTCGCGGCCTTCAAGCTTGTTCACGAGTGATGAGAGATCGCGAGTAAGACGAGGCGAATGTTCGGCGCGAAGAGAGAAGAAAGAGAGGGCCTGTGGGGGATACACGGTTTTGCGAGGGGTTGCACAAGATGTGTTTCAATAAAAATACATTAAATACATACGTACACGTAGTAGCGATACGGAAGAGACGATACGGTTCCCGGCATCGGACGGCGCCGAGATAGAAGATTGGGAATGATATATTGGTACATTATCGCGGCAGGAGAATAAAGACTTTTAAATGCATAAAAAAATACTGCTCGAATTTCCTCGACAAAGCTATTTACACAGACTCGAGTAATAGATGAATAAACGTTCGAAAAAGGAGATCGTTATATTATCGCTCTTTGAAAAAAATGATTCTTCAGTGTGGAAGACGGCGGTTGCGCACCCTCCACTCGGAAGGACGGGAGGGAGTGCGTCGGTGGTTGGCGAAGATTGTCAGGCATTGTGAATGCAACGAACGACCACGGTGTCTCGTTGTGATACTGATTATGCAGAGCTTTATTTGTATCTCACTTGCTTTTTTGTATCTTCCACTGCTACTATAGATAACACGTGCGGCTTGTAATCTCTATTCTATATCGGTATCTGGCGTACTGTTGCATACTCGGTCTGTAATATATTCGGACATAGGCACGAAGTGTTAAACAGCGCCTACAATTTTATTAACATCTACGGCGCCCGGTCTGTACGAGCCGGGGCCGAGCGCGTGTCGGACATGTACGGTAAATACTATTACAATCACGGGATAACTCATCTTCGGGCGGTGATCTTCGGGTTATGATGTGCGTCGGGTCGCTGAGTGGTGTACACGGCTACACGTGTGTGGTCAGGGTGCTCTACTTAATCTTCTAGAGGCGTGTTGCGTCTTCTCGGCGATTGCCTACGGAAAAACGATCTCTTCGCGGGAAGACGCGAACTTATACAGTCATCTACGCGGAGTCCGGCGGAGTTACTCTTCACGAAGACACTGTCACGAGGTTCTTGCTCTCTCGAGGCGCTATTGTCCGACGGAGAGAACGAGAAAGACAAAGAGGGAGAAAGACGGTGCGTTGTCGTGTGTTACGGCCGTTCATGGACGGAGTTCTTCTTCAATCTTCGATGTTTGTTGGCTGACGTGCCTCGGAGATCTCTCTCTCTCTCTCTCTCTCTCTCTCTCTCTCTCTCTCTCTCTCTCTCTCTCTCTCTCTCTCTCCTTCCCTCTCTCTCTCTCTCTCTTCAGTGGACGATCTTCCGGACGCACTGTTTCCTCGGAGGCTGGTAAAAGTTATGGCTCTGCATTAAGTGGCGACGTAGACTGACGTTCTGCGTGAAGCTACGCCCGCAGAGGTCGCAGCAGAAGTTTCTGCGCCCGCCGCACTCGTATCTCAGGTGCTTCGATAGGCTCGGTTTCACCTTGTAACCCCGGCCGCACTGCGGACACTTGAGAGTAAGATCCTCGTCCTTCAGGTAGTTGGCGTGTCGTGACTTCCTGGGCGGACCCGATTGGGCAGCCGTCCATAGCGCACCTGAAAGAATACGAAAAGGACAGTGGTGTTAGTCGCGAGCTCACTTGGTCCGGTCGCCGAGCGAGATCGTCAGACGCGAGTCTGACCGATCGAGACCTCATCCGTTCAAGCCCGATCAAGCTTCGGAACTAGAAAATCGAAGGAAGGCCACCCGCGGAGCCGGTCCATGCTGGGACGGGAAGAGGATCACCGGTTCGGGCATGTGATTCGTCAAGAAGAGCGGGACGAAGGGGGGGGGGGAGAGAGACTAAGAGGGCGGTTCACGTCCGGTTTGATAGATCGAATAATTTGATCACGTACTTGAAGCGCACTCGATCTGCCTTCAATCGTTCGATGTCCGTCGGAGCGAGGAGGAATGAAATGGAGAAGTTGCTGGGACGGGGTCGTTCGCGCTTTCGTCTTCGTGCTTTCGTGGGAATCACGATCAGGACCCGAGGTGAATATAGCGATAAGCGGTCTACAAGATAAAGCTATTTTCCATCCCGTTGACGACGACGATCTTATGGACCGCCGAGAGGTGCCGTTGCAGACTCGTTTTCTGGGTGAAACTGTAGTTGCAATGGCAGCAGGAGAACTCTCGTTTTCCGCCGCACTCCCACTTCATGTGTCTGCGCAGATTGCAGAGCATCGTGTAGCTGCGCCCGCATTGCTGGCAGGTGAAGCGGGATCTCGTGAAACCTGCCGAAAAGAGAACGTTACTCTAAGGATGCGTTCGTGCGCGCGTGCGCGCGTGAGGCGACATAGAGACGAGCGATTTTCAGAGTGTGAATCTTTGAGTTTTTCTTTCGTTTCTTTTCTTTCTTTCTTTTTTTTCCTTTTCTTTTTTAGCATTCTGGTATAAATGCGAGAGAAGAAAAATTACGTGGTGGTCAACGACGAGGCCGTAATGTCCTTGTACAACGTCTTGTAAACATCGTTAGAGCGAGAGAGAAAAAGAGAGAAATAGAGAGAAAGAGAGAGAGAGAGAGAGAGAGAAGCAAAAATTTGAATCGAATGAAACAAATCAATAATGAAATCAACGGTCAACATCAACATGAACATCAATGTGACAACACTCAATCGGACGGACTCACGTCGTTGCATCTTAACGCTCTGAAGAGAACTTACTCGGTGTGATAGCATGTGAGTTGCAGTAAGGATACTTTATCGACGAGAAATGCTCTCCAGGTCGATCAATCGAGCTGATTGTATTCTCTCGTTTCTACCACGCGAATGAATGTCGTGACGTCGGAACAATACGAGCAACGTGTTTTTTTCGCTCTGTAAGCATCTGCCATCAATAAATCTGCCTTTTCGAGGAGAACTCGCGCCTCCAGCGACGCGCAAACGATGACAGCTTCAATTCTAACTATCGAGTACGTGATGTGTGAGATAGACAGATAGAGAGAGAGAGAGAGAGAGAGAGAGAGAGAGAGAGAGAAAATTGTCAAGTGTGTCATTATAATATTTTCCGAGATGATAATCAGTCAGATCAAATGCGGTTACAGTCTTAGTGGTATATGTATCTTCAGACAGTGGTACGTATCTTCGTCGCAACTAGAAGAGGTAAAATGTTGCATTTATTATCAATTTTATATCGACTACGCGTAACAGCTAAAAAGGAAGCTAAAGAAGTTCAAGAAGAAGCGAGTTCTTCAGGTCGTTTCCACACGACTCCTTCTTCCTTCTTCCGGTCCATCTTCCGCTCGACGACGTGGCTCTAAACTTTCGGATCGGTATCTTTGGCGTACACTGGTCGGTCCGGTTCTTCTTCTTTTGTTGACGTCGCGGCGCGATCGTCTCTCGACATCATCATCTTCCGGTGACAGTCTCCCGTTTGTCGCTTTCACTGGTAGACGATCCGGTCGTACATCTTCCTGGGGACGTTGTACCGTTTCTTCACGGGCACGACGACGTTATGGTGGTGCGTCAGATGCCTGCGCAGGCTGACGTTCTGCGTGTACTTGTTCGGGCAGAGATGGCACGAGAATCTTCGTTGGCCGCCGCACTCGAAGCGTACGTGTCTTGCCAAGTTGTGCTTCAGCGAGTACCTCTTCCCGCAGGCGGAGCACTGCAGACCTTGGTCTTCCATGCTGCCGCTCGGGTATTTGGCGTCCGTCCTCATCCTGGCGATCTTCGCGGGCGTGAGGTGCACCTTTCGGCCGTAGGCCGCGGTGCTTTCTGCCGGATGGAAGCTCTCGTAGAAGCCTGGAAAAGACAAACGTTCGTGCGCCGATTAGTGGACGGCCCCGGCGAGACGAGAATCGCACACATCGATGTTCCCCTCGTTTACGCGACGTCGAAGCTTATGGAGTCCGTCGGACGACATCCCCGGAGCGATCTATGTGTGGCCGATCGCCATCTGGCCTCGTGAACGGCACAGACTTCAATACACAGACTGGCCGCTCCACAAGAAGTCGCGAAGACTACAGGTCCGTTCGTTTTCGAAGGACTTTTGAACTAATGCGATAAGTTAGAGTGAGACAAGTATATACTTTCTCTCGCTCCAACTTGTTGCAGCAACACCAGTTCAGACAGTTCTTCGGGAAAGAATAGACATGTGAAAAGGATATTCTGTGTCGCAGGCATTCAATCTTTATCTAGCTTCACTCCGAATGAAGAAGAATGAAGACAGCATGCCTGCGAGAGGGAGGATATAGCTGCCCCTCGAATCTTGTCTTCAAAACTCTTCGAAGAAGGGACAGTTTATGCATAGAAGTCTATATTCCGAGCGAACATTCCGCCCCGAAGGAAAATATCTTATTACTTACGTGCAATGAAAGTCATACTTACGCGTTTTTTCTTTTTTTGTTTTTTTGTTAAACTCAACACAAGCATGCGGATCATTCCAAACTTCAACTTATATCGGTTACTTCGAAACGGTAGATAGCAGTGTGTACACTATATTCTTGAAGTGATTCTGAATTTGTTTTTCCGCAACAAGAGAAAAAAGAGAGAGAGAGAGAGAGAGAGAGAGAGAGAAAGGAGGGAGGGGAGAGAGGAGAAGAGAACACGGCGGCCTCGTCAAGAAAGAAATCCGAGACAAGTCTCGAGAGGCGCTCTTGTTTCGAAAAAATCAGCGTCGAATTCTCTCAAGAATACGATGGTGTTATTATTGTACATTTAGGGATATCCCACACTGCACGCTTCGCTTACTCTCTATGTCCCGACAAACGTTCGGGCAAATACACACACACAAGGAGGAATTTGAAAGGAAATTTGTGGGATAAAATCTGGAGCACTGCCGCGCTCAACAATACAATGAGAAAATACTTCTAGAATTTCGGTGCAATGAAAAAGATGATATATAATGGTGAATCTTTTATATACATATACATATATCATCTTTTTATAGTCCTTAAAATTAAATACAGTTATCGTTTCGATGGCTAAAATATCGCCTTTCATGGACGTCTGATTTATTTAGGCAACTTAAATCGAAGGAATGCGAAAGAAAATAATAATAACACTGCGTTGTCAAAATGACCACAGTGTTATTAATCGCAGTGTGGGCCTAGACAGAGGTCTTGTCGACGACCCAGTCGGGAGAAAGGAGAAAGAAGAGAGGGTTCGTAAGCAAATTTACTCAATGGCACTTCATCACGCGGCTCGCGTTCGTCATCAATCATAGCCATGACTGTGCACGAAGGTAGACAAACGGAACGACGGTTTGCTTTCTGTGTCGGGCGACTCGTGACCCCTTTTTATTGTTTGTTGTTAAAAAAGCCATTGATTTCCGACGGTTAATTGCCGGTCGACATGTAGGACCTCCTCCGGATTTTGCGCGGCGGCACAAATATGTTGTGAGCGTTCAGCATGTGCTGGCGCAGCTTGCCGTTCTGGGTGTATCTGGAGGTGCACAGGGAACACGCAAAGTGTTTCTGACCGCCACATTCGAACCTCAGGTGCTTCATTAGATTGTGCTTCATCTGATACAGTCTTCCGCACTGGTGGCAGCTGAAGGTCCGATTGCTCTTGAAATTGTGCCTGGGTCCGCGCCGACCGATGGAGAACAGCTCTGCAAAAGAGGAATGACTCGTTAGTATCGGCCGCGATGTAACCTCCAGGGTCTCTCGAAGCGATATCGATAATGCACGAAAATGTTTTCCTGGACGAATCCGCCGCCGAGAGGCAGTGTCCTTCGGGGGGGGGGGGGGCGGGCGGCGGAGGAAGCGGGAAGGCTGAGAGTAAACGATCGTCTATCGAAAATTTATTGTGGACTAGACATACATCGCAATTTCTTCCCCCGAAGGAGAACCCTCCTGCGACAGCTCGGTTTCCGACGTACATTTTATTTTAATATTCGCCAGGAGTCGCGGAGGGGCTCCCTCGGCTCAACGAAAATCGCTTAATCCTAGAAAGTTCAGGTGATTATATGATAATCTGACGGGATTGTTAACATTTATACTAGTAACGCTAAACCAGAACGCATTCGTCAACTCGATAATTCGTAATGCACGAATGTCCGTCCAACTAAATGAAAATAATAAGGAAGAAATGTCCTTTTGTCCTTGGCTGCTCGATGTAAAACTCACCTTTCCCCCACGAGTGAAGCTCGCATTTCTTTCATAAAA